AGCTCTGACCCTGAACACACAGATATCTATGGGATTAAAGGCGTGTGCCACCACCGCCACACTCTTGCTATGGCTCTAATAGCTCTGACTCCCAGACAACTTTATTTGTTAACATACAATCAAAATAATAATTCAGTACAATTAGATTATCACCACAGGTCAGTGCACAGCAGTTATCCACATCCCATTAACATGCGCGCGCGCGCGCACACACACACACACACACACACTTATGCAAAATCAGAACAATCAAAAAACCCTGATATGGACCAAGTGTGGGTGTTGTTCCTTGCAATGGTGTGATTTCCTTGGTGTAGACTGGTCTATGCAGATGAGACCGTGACACCGGGGCACTTTGTCTGAGTGTAACTGTCATATTGTTCATATGTGTTCACATGGGAAAGAAATCAGAGCACTACAGTGATGATGAGGAAGGGATCTGGACAGGGGAATGTCCCAAATGGCTCCTGTGCTAAAATGTATATTTCACACCCTAATGGGCCATCATCAGGACAAAGGTCATCATAGGTGCAGAATGATTTATTAAGGCTAAGATCTACTAATCGAGGTTAGCCTTTGGAGCCTCTGACATGCAATAGCACTAGAAACTGAATTGAAATTGGAGTCCAAACCTCATCTGGAAACATCTGTTTCTTCTTCCCAGGCACCTGTAACCTATGATGCCCTGATGGACATGGAGTACCTGGACATAGTAGTGAATGAAACTCTCAGATTGTACCCGGCTGCTAACAGGCTAGAAAGGATCTCAAAGAAAGATGTGGAAAAAATCAATGGAGCGTTCATTCCCAAAGGGACTGTAGTTATGGTACCAACCTATCCACTCCATCGGGATCCTGAGTACTAGCCAGAGCCTGAGGAGTTCTGCCCTGAAAGGTACAGAGACCTCAGAGAGAAGTCCCCACTAGGAACCAGGCAAATTAAATGTATTATGCTGCCTACTGGAAATTGCATATATGTGATTTTGTATCCCTTTGCATCTATATGTCTTTTAGGAATTGAACCTTTTAAAATTACAAAGTGATAATTTTTTTTTAAGATTTATTTATTTATTATGTATACAGTATTCTGCCTACATGCATGCTTGCAGGCCAGAAGAGGGCACCAGATCTCATTATGAATGGTTGTGAGCTACCATGTGGTTGCTGGGAATTGAACTCAGGACCTCTGGAAATTCAGCCAGTGCTCTTAACCACTGAGCCATCTCTCTGGCCCCACAAAGTGATAATTCTTGATGCTACAAAAGCAGACCAGGGAAAAGTATTCATGGCAATTCAGAGTCCCAAAATGTTAACATTAACTCCATTAATACTGAAATATATCCTCAAGGATTTATTGTAGGCATGTAAAGGTTTTGCAAAATCTAGTATATTTTAGTTGTATTTTGAATCACTAATTAAACACTAACCTGTTGTGGAATATTATTTTAACTATATAAAGATGTGTTACATTTGTTCATGCTGCATTTGTTTAACGATGCAAAGATGTGTTGCTTTGCCTGCCTAAGGCACCTGATTGGTCTAATAAAAAGCTGAATGGTCAGTATCTAGGCAGTAGAGGGATAGGTGGGCTGGTGGGCAGAGAGAATAAGTAGGAGGAGGAATCTCGGCTGGGGAGGGAGAAGGAAAGAAGAGAGAAGGAGAGGCAGATGCTCGGATCCAGCCAGGCAGTCATGGAATAAGCAGGAAAAGTAGGACATACAGAATGAAAGAAAGATAAAAAGCCTCAAGGCAAAACGTAGATGAGGAGCAACAAGTTAAATTAATTATAAGAGCTAGTGGGACAAGCATAAGGCTGAACATTCATAACTAATAAGTCTTTGTGTTATGATTTGGGAGCTGGTTGGCAGCCCAAAGAAAGCCTGGTACACTAACCTATATACCACATCTTGTCATATACACATATGTCTTATTTGGTGACTAGGTAGTAGTTGATATAAATGATATATAAATTTACATAGGATTATTTTTTCATGTGTTCTGTGCTGGTTCCTAAATTTACCATTATTTTTAAGAACTTTTCCCATTGTTTGATTAGAAACTGCCTTCTTAAAGGTTGAGGCAGTAGCATACTTTTCACTCTAATTCTGACTTGTCTTTCAGAATGGGAACATATACCCATCCCGGACAGAATTTTGGCATTGGAAGAAGATATATTTCCTCTCTATAAGCATTTAGCTCAGCTCAGTTCAACACCAGAGGCTCCTCTATTTTAAGGGACATGGAAAGACCATTAGCTTACAATGTTTTTATTTTGATTCATTTTTTATGTGTGTGATGTTTTCCTGTATGTATCTGCACCACATGTACCTGGTGCCAGAAAAGGCCACCAGAGGCTCTCAGGTACTTGTACTGGTCATCAAATCCAGGCTCTCTGGAGAAGAAGCCAGTGTTCTTAACTGCTGAGCCATCTCTCCAGACCCTGACCTAAAATTCTTAAAGTGAGACATCCATAGCAAGGGTTCAGTTGCAAGTCCACAAATGTAAGCTGGTTGATGGGTGTGAGAACTCCAAACATGGAGCTCTTGGCTCTTTATGTTCCATAGCTTCGTTTGCATCCCCACTCTGTCTCCAGGTTCAGCAAGGAGAACAAGGGCAGCATCAATCCTTATGTATACCTGCCCTTCGGGAATGGACCCAGGAACTGCCTTGGCATGAGGTTTGCCCTCATCAGTATGAAATTCGCTGTTGTCAGAGTGCTGCAGAACTTCACCCTCCAGCCTTGTGAGGAAACACAGGTGAGGCAGGAAACTCTCTCTATAAATCGTATTTAGTTGGAATGTCCTTGTTTTTTTAATTTAGAGTTTCACCTAAAGAAAGGGGAAATTGGTCATTCATCTTATGCTTCCGTGTATGGAACACAGGATTTGACCTGTAAGCTTAAGGACCTTCCATTCTGAGCTGCAAGTCTGTGTCTGAATAAAACAGAAACAGAGAAATTATTTAGAGTTCATGCAGATCAGCACGACATGATTAAGTATAGTGTCTTTGAGATCAAGTCCAGGTTTAAATTGTGTGACTGACTGGAGATGGGGAAATTGTTGCACACGCTCAGAGCTCGTATGATCACCTTGCCGTGGTTTGTGAATGGAGGGCTTCCCAGCACTAGCTCTGCCTTTTTTTTTTTTTTTTTTTTTTTTTTTTCCATTTTTTCGAGACAGGGTTTCTCTGTGTAGCTTTGTGCCTTTCCTGGAACTCGCTTTGGAGACCAGGCTGGCCTCTAACTCACCGAGATCCGCCTGGCTCTGCCTCCTGAGTGCTGGGATTAAAGGCGTGTGCCTCACCGCCAGGCCCCTAGCTCTGCTTTTAACTTTGTAACTTTAAAAACTCACTGTGCCTAATCACCTCAGATACCTGGAAATGATTTACCCAGAGCATTGCTTTAAGAGATCCATATTGGCTAGGGAGTGGTGGCGCACGCCTTTAATGCCAGCACTCTGGAGGCAGAGGCAGGCGGGTCTCTGTGAGTTCAAGGCCAGCCTGGTCCAGAGAGCGAGTTCCACGACAAGCTTAAAATCTACACAGAGAAACCCTGTCTCAAAAAGGGTGCAGTGCACACTGATTTCAGACACTACTATAGAACACAAAGAATTTCAACCCTTCAGGACAACCCTGACCATTTGATCTCACATTTTCATAACTGTGCTACCTCTCCTCAACCTGGCTCCACCCCTCTCCAGCTTTGAGAACCCCACCAGCCACCTCCATCCATGCAGCTGGCCCAGAGGAATTAGTGAGGGACCTCTTCCCCTAGGCTCCACCCACTCAGAACTTCCCTGGGTACTCAGACCAACTTGGAATTCTGGCCTTGGGTACTAAAAGCACACAGTAAAAGACATCTAACAACCTAACTCCAGATGCCCAGGGCTCATTGCAAAAACTAACTATAGAAAAAACCAAGACAATGTCTGCTCCAAAAAAAGCTAGCAATCCCATCAATGAAATGGTCCCAAGAGGGGCCACTTAAGATAAAATTTCAGGCACAGAAGTCAAAAGAATTAAACACTATCAAAGAGTTAAAATAATTTAAAGAGGACAAATAAAAACACCTGAATGAACTTGATCTTGATGAGAGTAGGAATAAACACAAAGCAAAATGAAACAATGAAAACAGAATGTGAAAAAGAAAGAATATTAAAACCTAATCTGAAATTAAGCTGAAAATAAAAAATTAATTAATTTAGATGACACAGTAACATCAAAACTTAAAGGCAAGCTAGAGAAAAAAGTCATGAACAGAACATGCAGGATCTTCAGACACCATGAAAAAAATCAAATTTATAATTATGGGCATAAAAGAAAGAGAATTCCAGGTCAAAGGCATTGAAAACATTTTCAATAAAATCTCAGAAAAAAATGTCCCAATCTTGAGAGATGGCCTTAAAGACCAGCAGAGACGTGACACGACACATTCTAGTGAAAACACTGGGAAGGCCCCATCACAGAAAGGCAAGCTACCACAGAACATCTGGGTACTGGATAGAAACCATTAAGGCCAGTAAGTCTTGGAAAGACATTACCCAGTTCTAAAAGGTCATAAATGCGAGAATATTATACACAGCAAAACTCTTCTATAAATGAAAAATAAAAATGTTCCATTATAAAAACAGATCTAACCACTAAGCCAGCTCTACAGAGGATACTAGAAAGAATACTTCAGACTGGAGACAAGAAGGATAAACACATTCCACAGGTCACAGGATATAAATAAATGATACCAAGATAATTAATCAAAAAATGTTTCGCTGGACGGTGGTGGTGGTGGTGGTGGTGGTGGTGCACACCTTTAATCCCAGCACTCAGGAGGCAGAGGCAGGCGGATCTCTATGAGTTCGAGGCCAGCCTGGTCTACAGAGCAAGATCTAGGACAGGCACCGAAACTACAGAGAACCCTGTGTCAAAAAAAACAATAAATAGGGCTGGAGAGATAGCTCAGTGGTTAAGAGCACTGACTGCTCTTCCAGAGGTCCTGAGTTCAATTCCCAGCA